GTCTCTGACAAGTTATTCTAATTATTTTCATAGAAGAGTTCCATCAGTGGAAGATAAGCTAAAGAAGTTCTAGCACTTGCATTATTGAGACACTCTGTAATATCACTTACCCTTCCACCAGTAAACGTTGGACATTTCGGTTTCTTTTTGAGTTGCATTTTCTTCCTGGAGCTACTCATATTGGTGGTTGGGGGGAGGGAGAAACAGAAACAAAAGGATCAGTTGGAATGCTTCATTAAAGCAATCCTGTAATATGGAATTAATAGTTAAAACTATGTAGAAATAGTGACCCAAAAGTTAAGAATGCTACAGCCAGCCTTTAAAGAGCATACGTTAATGGAATACTTAAATTGGTCAGTTACAAAAGCAATCCAATCCATCTGATTATAATATATATATAATAATCTGATTGCAGATCATTTATTTTGTGGTAGTTTCTGTACTTTTTTTGTCTACTCCTATTGATTGCAATTGTTCTATTTATGTTATAGAATTTGGAAGAGAATATTAAAAAACAAATTAGAGATGAAATAAGTGCTTGGAAGCTGACTCAGGTAAGGAAAAGAACTTTTAAAATATTTATTCAGAATTTATTTATTTTTAAAAATTATATTCACACAACCTCTTCTGTATAATTTATAGCATGATGTATGGGAAGATAACTTGAATGCTAAGCTATACACAGATAGCATTAAAATCATTTTACTATACTAAGGTTACTTCAAGAAAGAACTTACACAAAGCTGTTTCTTGGGTGTCTACTTTTCTTGCCTTGCAGTGGAGCAACCATCAGCCCTAGATGACCATATGATCTAATTGTATCTTTCTTTGTTAATCCTTTTTTAATTAATGCAATATTAGTACATCTCTTTTTTCACTCTATCCCCTGCAATCAATTTAAAATTTTATTAGATTGAGCCCTAGTGTAAAAATATGTCTCCCTTTAGTTTAAGTACTTCAGTAAATGTTTTATAATTCTTTTATTTTATAAACAGAAAAGAATTAAAGCACTACAAGCAGAGTTAGAAAGAAAGAAAAAGGAGCATAACAAATTAGAGGAAAAGATGAAGAGTAAATTAAAAAAATATGAGCTGCTTTCAGCTGAACAAATAGAAATACTGGAAAAAAATAAAGATGTGCTCAAAGAACTTCTTGAGGTAACTAAATAAGAACAAGACAAAATGTTGCTCCATTATGCTTCCGTTAAGTGCTTTTGCATTTCTTTCACAGAATATAGTGTAACACAAATTGGCATTTGGAATAAATCAACATGTCAATATGAAATTAAATGTAAAATAACTTCTCTATGGTTATAATGGCTTCAGTGATATGAAAAAAAAAGAGACTGAAATAATTATATTTTCAAAATGGCACATTAATGGCAGTGAGTAATGCTATCAGCTCTTCTCCAAGGGACAAAACCAGTGATGAGATTCAATTTTTTTTATTACCGGTTCTGTGGGTGTGGCTTATTTGGTGAGTGTGGCTTGGTGTCATGTGACTAGGTGGGCATGCTTGGTGGTCATGTGATTGGGTGGGCATGGCCAACTCAATATCACTCACGTAAAGGGGTACCTCGTCTGGCCCTCACTTCCCAGCCATTCCTTGTCACACCCAGCCTCAACATATCTATAGTTCTGTAAAAATGTTGTTCACCATTTTTTGACTTTATTATCTACATACTATAGATGTACTTTCATGGACCACTGAAAGGAGGAAATGGCTCACATGCTTTGCCTAAGAATGTGATAGGCAGCATGCTTTTAAGGGCCTGCCACAAAGAAGTGGGGGCAATATATTTTTCCAAAGAAGCAGAATGCAAACAAGAAGTAATGGATGGAAATTGAACAAAGAGAGAAGCAATCTAAAACTAGGGAGAAACTTCCTGACACTGAGAACAATTAACCAGTGGACCTGCTTGTTTCCAGAAGTTCTGGGTGCTCAATCAATGGAAGTTTTTCAGAAAAGACCAGACAACCATTTCTCTGAAATGGTATAGGTTCCTCAAGGTCCCTCTAGGTGTTATTCTGTTATGCTGATACTTTCTCAGGACCTCTACTCAAATTTATTTCATAATTTCACATATAAAATAACCATTTGTGTAATAAAACCTGCATATTGTTCAAAACAGTAATTATTATGGCTGATGTTTGACAGCAAGCCTAAAAGTCAAAGATAACAAGAGTGCTTCTTTCTCTGTATGTATACAAAATGTCATATTTATGCTCTGGACTAGACACTGAATGCATGTAAATCCCTGAAAAATATGTGGTAGCTCTGGGCAAAAGAAAAGCAGTAAAATCACTCTAGATATAGGGACAGTGTAAAATATTAACACATGATAAATAATGAAACAATTAAAAATAATAGCACAGAGTTTTCTCTCTCTTTCTCTCCCTTCCTATTTCTTTTTCTTTCTCTCTTTCTTCCTCTTTCTCTCTTTTTTGTTTTTCTTTCTTTTGTATGTCTCTCTCTCTCTCTCAGACATACACCCCACTCTCTTCCTATTTCTTTTGTTTCTCTCTCTTTCTTTCTCTCCCTTCCTCTTTCCTTCTCTTTCTCTTTCTCTCTCTCTCTCTCTCTCTCTCTCTCTCTCTCTCTCTCTCTCTCTCTCACACACACACACACACACACACACACACACACACACACCTGGTCTGGGATGAATGATCCCATGAGCTCCAGTCAGCAGCAAGTGGCGGGAAAAGGAAGAAAGTGGGCGGCACACCCTCCCAAAGACTTCCAGTGGCCACTTGCTTTATTTCTGAGGGGAGGTGGTGCAGGGGCTGTGGTGTACCCCTCCACTCCAGCCCTCCCAAAGTACCTCCATGGACAGCAGCAGCAGCAGGACCATCTGCCGTCCCTCCCAAAGACCTCCGGCAGCCGCTTGCATTATATGCGAGGGAGGGTGGTGGTGGGGCTGTGGAGCACCCCCACACACACTCCAGCCCTCCCAAAGCACCTCTGCAGATGGCATCAACAGCAGGAGCATCCGCCCTCCCTCCCAAAGACCTCCAGTGGCTGTTTGCATTATTTTTGAGGGGAGGTGGTGGTGGGGCTGTGGAGCACCCCCACTCCACTCCAGTCCTCCCAAAGCACCTCTGCAGATGGCGGAAGTGGCAGCAGCATCCACCCTCTCTCTCAAAGACCTCTGGCAGCTGCTTGCTTTCTTGCAGGTGCGGCATCGGGAGGGCAGGGCAGAGCGGGTGGATGTCCCAGCCAGGGCTGCACATGCAATGTGCAATTTTCAGCAACCACGGCTGGGACACCCACCCACCCTCGCTGCACCATGGCCGCCACATAGTAGGAAAAGCTGAGAAAGCGCCACATGAGATGGAGCCACGCCAGCTTAGCCAGCCAGCCGAGCCCAGGGATGGGAGGGCCCAGAAAAGTCCAGGGATAGTAGAGAAAGGCTGGAAATGTATGGGGACAGTATGGAAGGCCTAGAAAAGTTTGGGGATGGTGGGGGAGGACTAGCGTGACTTGCAGGCTTACCTGTGAGCAGGATGCAGGAAGATCAGGACTGCTCAGTTGGGGCACAGGCACCATATGGGAAGGCAAGACCCAGGAGGGGAGGAGTGACTGGGTGGGGTGAGTGGCAGGCAGGTGTTCAGGGTGGTCGGGATGAACGATCATCAGGCGGGAGGGGCAAGTGAGTGAGCAGGGCAAGGGAGTGAGTGGAGACCGGGTGACCGGGTCGGGGGCATGGCCATCCAGATGTTGCTACCAGTTCGACGACCCACGCCAAATTCTTGCTACCAATTCACCTGAACTGATGCGAACCGGCTGAATATCACCACTGGACAAAACTCAGTAGAAGCAATGTAATAAAGACCAAAAGGCTTATTGGTAATGTGGGAGGAATTGTACATGTTTTTTACTTGTAAATATGTTTTAGTGAAAACCAGTATTACATAAGTATCCTCATACTAACAGTAAAACTTTTTATATTTGGTTACTTAATTGTTAATTTAAAATGTCCATCACTAAGATCGGTGCCATCCTCTATATTCCATAGCTTCTGGATTTTATTGTGGTCTAGGAATCTGAGCTGCTAAATTATTAGCTCAGCTTACTCCAGAGGAAGTACTGCAGTTTTGCAGCTACTCTCTCCAAGAGGTGGAGTGAATGACAGTCTACTGGTGGGAACTTTTCACTAATCCATCTGCTCAGCTCCAGTGATTTTCCCCATCTTTCCTGTAGCCATGATAACTTGCCAGGCTCCTCTATCTTCCTCAGGCATTCTGAGGGATGGCTTTATCATTTTCTTTACACTCTGGCAAGTTTTGTCCTCCCCCCTCACACACATACATTGAAATGATAAGAGAAGATGAAAGTTACCAGTTGCCAGTTAGTTCACTGCTTGTTTCTGTGTCTTTCTTTTTACCATCTGGAGGGAGCAATTGACTGACTCTATGGATGAATAAAGTTCAGTAGTGGGAACATTGGATAGAACTGTTGCTAAGGATTTGAGAGAGCTGGCCAATGACCTGACCGGTGATAAAGTTTAGTAACAAATGTATCAAACTTCATTTTGATTAGATTCTATTACTCTTTTTTGGTCTGCATTATTATTTTTCAGAAAATAGCTGAATTAAATCAGAAGATCAAAGAACTTGATGACAAGGAGGAAAATGTGAAAAACGAATTAGAAAATAAGAAGAAATATGTTAAGAACCTATTAGATGATAAAAAGGTGAACATGTTAATATTAGCATTAATAAGTTTTGTTTATTTTCAAATGCTAAACACGCTTGTCCTCACTTATCTTGAATATATCTAAACCTTTCTGTATGGGGTATAGTATTCCTATCCCTTTCTTAAATGAACCTAATCATATCCTAAATATTGAGATAGAATAACATACAAATTCATGTTGGGGTAAGTTCTATTTCTTTATTATGAATCTAGTAGATTCATAATATTGGGGGGCTTTGAAGAAAGGAAGGTAAAAATCAGTATGAGGAAGAAAAAGTATTCAACTCTGATAGAAATAGCCTGCTGATTATACCTTTGTACAGCAGATGGCATCTTTTTGTAAATTATAGTAGATCTTTAATACTGTAGTTGTCTATATTAGCAAACAAGATATTCTGGCTATTATTATGAATACTGTGTTTATATAAATGTATTTATAATTGCAGTTCTTTGTATAAAATGTCTTATATGTATTACTGTTGTGTTGCATTGGTTTTTATTGTGCATATTTGTGAGTGATTGAGAAATTAATGTGGCTAACCAGGAGAGTTCACATCTATAATTTAATCAAAACAGTGCTTTTAATCTTACTCTAGAGTCCCTATTTCTTTTTTAAATAATAATAACAGCAGCACTGACAAAAGTCCCTTGCACCCATGGGTAATTGGGCAAAATGGAGAATTACTGTATCACCTAATCCTAAAGTACAGTATAATGACAAATAAATAAATCTAAAAGTAGTCAGGGAAATTGTACATCTGAACACCCTTCAACTTATCACCTTTACCTGATAAGAGAAATTAGGCAAAATAAAGAAATGGAATCAGGAGACAAGAGAAAAGGAAATCTAATTAAACATAGTTTATGTCAGTACTGTTCACAATGCATATCCATATCTTTCTATCCTTGCAAACTATCCTTGCTTCTACCATGTCTATGGATCTGTTGGAACAAATCAACCAGCTGCTTTGTTTCATATGGTGCCAAGATGATACAGTATCTTGCATTTCCTTTACAGGAAATTGTTCAAATAGAGCACCAAACCACCACCCCACAGCTCTCTTGTATTAACCATGTTAACTGAGAAAATACTTCCAGAACAACAATGAGAAAAATCAGATCTTAAGACAATAGTTTTTTGTTTATTTGTTTGTTTGTTTGCTTACTTACTAAATTTATTTATCACCCATCCCATTGTTAAGCAATGGGTGGTATATAAAAGCACATATCATAAAAGCAAAAATGCGAAACATTAAATCATTAAATATTAAAATTAACAGAAATTAGGTACAACGGGATGGGGATGGGGTCTTTTTCTTAATCCCTTAACCATCTTGGGGACAGGATCTTTTTCTTAACCCATTAACCATCTTCAGTATGGAATGTCTCCATCAAGGTCCAAAGCCAATCAACAGGACCAGGTTTTGAGGCTCTTTAGGAAGGTGAAGAGGAGGGGGATAGATCTCACCCCAATGGGCATGATGTTCCAGAGAACAGGAGCCATGCAAGAAAAACCCTTGTCCTGGACACTCCCAATTGGAATTCCTTGACTGGCAATGTCTATAGCATGCCCCTTTTGCTGGAATGAGTTGGGCAAGCCAGTCCCATTGAGGTGAGATAATTCCTTGGGTATCCTGGGCCCATGCCAAAAAGTGCTTTAAAAGTGATAACCAGCACCTTGAATGGGACTTGGAAGGAAACTGATAATCAGTGCAGCTTGTACAACAATGGTGTTACAGGTCCACATGATTGCATTCTGTGCTACCTGTAGCTTCCAAATATTCTTTAAGGGTAGCCTATTTAGAGCACATTGCAGTAGTCCAAATACAAGGTGACCTAGGCATGAGTGACTGAGTGCAAGAACTCATGATCTAGGAAAGGACACAACTGATGTACAACACAAACTTGTGCATAGACTCTCCTAGAAATATCAATATCAATAATAATTACATTAATTTTGTAAAAAAAAAGAGAGAGAATCCATCATTAGGAAACACCATAACCCTCCTAATTCTATATCAAGTAAATACTTCAAAATAATTCCACTGAATGATGAATCATATTCAGATGTAGAATCTGGAATGCATTTTCTGGTAAAAGTCATGTAATTTATTGTTTTGTAAGACTTCATTTTCTGCATTTATTTCTCTGTTTGATACCTTTTTTAGGTTTCTTTTAGCTTCCTGTTCATATTACTAAATTAATTGCTATTATATTTTCATCCTGCCTTTGTTACTTTATTTTAGTAACCTAAGGCAGTAAAGTTACCTAATATTCCTCCCTCTTCCTATTTTCTCCACAACAATAATCCTATAAGTTGAATTGAAAGAGAGTAACTGGCTCAAAGTCACTTAGTCAGTGACTATTGCTATGTATTTGCATTAATTTTATCTAAAATGTTTTATCATTTGTTCTAATCTCTATACCCTACTTGGCTCTTTTGGGTGCCTTGGCAAAGTGTGAGTTAGGTAGGGATTAATACTGTTTATGGGGAGAGGTGATACCTTCTAACTTGAAAAAGAGAATGGTATGTATTCCCCCCTGAAGACACCATTTCTCATTTCAGCATATTAGACAGCTAAGCAGTCTCCGGGTTATGTTTTCTGGGAGGATTCTAAAGAAGATGTTAGGGCTTCAGGCTGAATTATCTGGATCCATTTCAGCCAATAATCAAACCTGGGCATAGAACTGAAACAACATGGTAGATAACCATTGTCTGGAACTTGATGGAGGGAGGTAGACTGCTCAATTAGACTTCTTGGTGATATTACTATTGACTGTGTTATTCTTCTGAACCACCTTTGAGTGGTTTGGAATTTTAGGCATCATTTCCAGTCATTGATAACGGGGGATTAGTGAATAAACCTTCAATACGGAATGTCTATGAAGGTGTTTCAGAAAGTACAACCTCTGATTCAGTGGTTAGACTAATGACGAGGGTAACCATCCAACCCCAATTCAAACTATATGATTTGACCTCCATGTAGCTTCAGAATCATCTCATCCAAGTAGATGGGGTCCACCTGTGCATTCTTCCTGACAGTGAAAATCATTTCTTATATACTCAAACAATAATAAAAAGCACAGGAAAGACATTGAGCAATGTACAAAAATGAAATTATCTTATTTGTAAAACATATTTCAAAACAATGACTGATTTAAGCAAGTGTACCTTTACTGAAATTATGTTACCTAACTTGCATTACATTTTCAACTGCAGTTATGAAAATAGTTCTGTTTTGGGATAAGTAATTTAATGCATCATTGCATGTAATTGTGCTTTTAAACCATTTTTTTATTTTCAGGAGAAATATTTAGGCATTTCAAGCCAATTTACTAAAGTCAATGAGGAAATTGCACATTTTCAAAAAGAAATTGCAAAATTAAATGCTTTAAGGAAAGGACATGAAAACCAGGTAGACAATATAGAAAAATGTGTAGTCATATTGAGGTAAGAATCACATTTCAATAAATAATGCATAGCGTTAAGTTGGGAGCAATGGAATGAGAGCTTTCAAAATTTTCTCACTCTTTGAGCCACCTGCCACAGTCTCTTACATGGGTTCCCCAGCCCTCCAGAGGACATTCTGAGAGGAGCACAGTTTGACATAGAGGACAAAGAAAACTGGAAAGCTGTATTGTTGCAGTTTAAATGCATACAAAAATATGTGTATGAGAATGTTTTTCCCACGAACACAAAAATAAGAGATAGGGTTCCTGACAAAAAGGACATGGGGAAAAGACAATACTAAATTATACCTCAGAACAGATATAAATCAGATAACAGTTGTAAAACTTTTAGAAAATTCCAGTGATCACAAAGAAAGACAATATAAAGAGTCTTGTGGCATCTTTAGCACAAAACAATTTATTTTGCTATAAAATTTTGTGAAACATAGATGCATGCACACACATGCACACAGACATATGACTTACACACAATATTATATACACACACACACACAATGCATACATACACCATTTAATAAAATTTATTAAACATAAGGAAAACAACACAATGAAGTATTACTGTGATTCACATTACTCTGTCCTCTCTGACATTTAACTAATGCATGATTAATATCACTTATACCTTTATCATATTACATATGAAACCACAGGAAGTCTCAAGATATGAAGTATGTGCATGAAATAATTTCAGCTTGTATAAACTTCTTTGTGAAGAGTTGTAAGTCACAGACATCTATGAAAAGCCAAGATTTTCTTAGAATGATAACGTGCTTTGTGATATCAAAGTCTCTGTTCCATCCATTAGACACTTATGCATGACCCAAGGGATGAAGTTTGTGTTGTGACAATCTGACTCATGTTTTGTAATTTGCCCTGGGTACTGATGGTAAATAAACTGTTTTCAAGAACTATAATCATGGAATATTGTATAGGGCAAAAATGGATCTTTCTTCTATTCCAAAGAAGTTATAACCCTTTTAAAAACATTCCTGTATAACTAAATTATGCTTTTAATAGTCCCTATGCAGGCATCTAGGTACACCAACAAACAAACAGATACTATATGTAAGCATAATTGGATGAACAAGATTAGAATCAAATAGTTTACATAATAAAGCAAAAACAAAAGATGAAGGCAATCCAGTCAACCAAGACATTTTCAGATGCAAATTGACAAACAGACTGTTAATTGCTAATTTTAAATATATGAATTAGAAAATTAAAGAAAGTAGGTGTGCCAGCACATTTTAACCTGGAGGTCTTATAGACAGAATATAAGATCACTGTAAGATACATGTTTAATATGCTTATATTATACAAATATGAATTAGAGGATCAAGAAAGAGTAATAATACCATGGAACCAAATATAGCCAACAATTATGAGGAAGAACTAATAATTTTTCAGAAAAAAACTGAAGGAAATGTACTGATCTCAATCACAAATGTAAACAGGAAAAAAGCAAGAATAAGATGAGATGCGTTGTTTTAAGATCAGGGAAATCACAGGAAATTTTATAACTAAATTAGGAATATTCAAGAGTAATAATCTGATGGAGATTTTAAAAAGATAGGAAGAAGCTATTGTAAATTTAACAGTGGGATTAGAGAATGACACATTTTAGAAGGAGAATATATTTAGAAGCTGTCTCCATTAGTAAGTGGAACAGATTAGCTGATGAATAGAAAAGCACTAAGCACAAAGGAAATGCCCACTAAAAATTTTAAAGACTCAGAAAAGGGGAAGTTAAAGTATTAACACGTCTCCTTCAACAAATATGGAACAGGCTGCATGGCATACAGATTGGATACGATTGGTGCATATACTGTGCTTGTACCAAAAAGGGGATACAAATAAATGTATGGATTACTGAATCATTGCAATTATTCTTCATGTAAGCAAAATTCTGCTTAAAATCTTATATGGACTACAGAGCCATACATGCAGAGAGAGGATGGCAAATGAATTAACAAGTTCAGAAAAAAATAAAGGATTAAAAATAATCAGCTAATACATGATCAACAAGCAGGAACTTAGTTATTTTGGGATTCTAAGTCTGCTTGGCAAAATTGAGGAAACTACATATAACCACAGATATGGATGGATGGGATCAAGAGCATTAACAAAATGTCCTTAGAAAAGCTAGTTACACAATAGGGACAGCTCAAGATGGAAAACATTTGTTTGTGTAGTGTAGTCACCAGTATCTGAACCTATTTGCTACTAACCAGAAATTTTAACTAGTGGCAAGAATGTGTCCATTTTATTACAGTTCACAACTTTGTACTGCAGCTAAGCTATGTGTTTGTTTTGTTAAAGATTATGGCTTCAACCCTAACCCTAACCCTAACTTTCACTTAAAACGGCTTAAGTGCTGCAAGTTGAGGTACATATGTGACTTAGTTTAAATCAGGTTCATATGTTTTACATTATTATATAAATTTGTATTCTATATCTATAAAATATCTTTGTGTGTGTGCATGTGCATATATGTGTGTGTGTGTACATTTAGGTTTAGCTGAGAGAGCTACTGAAAAGAAATGGTCCAATAAACTATACATGCACATTGCCCTTATACATTTATAAAGCATCTCACTAGAATGCAATCACTGTTTCCGCATGAGCAATTTGCCTAATAGTTCTGAGTAATTTTTCATACAAGTAATGATATATTTTCTTTCCCTTAAAGAGAAAAATATACCAAAATAAAGTCCAAGGAGGAAAATACTCAGAGATTAGTTGATTTTCTCTATGCCCGGCTGGATGCTGTTAAAAAAAAAATAAAGACAGACAACAGAATATTTGATGAGCAACAGTGGAAGAGACAAAATGATTTGAAAATTAAGAAGGTTTGTGCTATTTACATTATTATTATGTTTCATTTTTCTTGATAAAATGAATATGAACTATAGTTAAATTGATTTCCTTTTCCGAGAAAAGTATATCAAACAATACATGGGCATTCTGATGAATCATCTTGAAAAAAAGAACATTACCCAAAAGACACCATGTCCTTCCAATATGGACACTTTATTTATTTATTTGTTTGTTTGTCAAGCATGTATGAGAAAACAAGTATGAACATAGAATATAAACATATAAGTATAAACAGATATAAGTACATACAGAATAAATGAGTACGAATAAATGGATAAATGGGAACAGTAGGACAGGGAAGGTAGGCACGCTGGTGCGCTTATGTATGCCCCATTGCAGACCTCTTAGGAATGGAGTGAGGTTCCTTATTTGTTTCTTATTAATATCCATTCCTTATTTGTTTCTTATTAATAGTTTCCCATGAAAGTTCCATGTTCATGTAACATGTTTCTAACTAATAGTATATGGGAATGACCATGGGAGATAAGGCAAAGAAATGCAACCAAGGGAACTGTTGGAGAAAAGGCAGCTGAGCTCGTTAACAAGAATGTGGGTGGGGCAAGAGGCTCAGAAGAGACCCTCTCTATTTTCTTGGGCTGTAAATGTGGAGGAGGGAGAACTTGCAAGTTTCTGTTAATATAGCTTTACAATAATGTAAAACTAGCTCATCTAGTTGTGTTTCTTGTCTGGTCCACCTTATAAGCTGATACTAACAGAATTGAAAAACTGGAGGACCATTAGATTTCGTATGTAAAGCTCCAAGTATAAGATAAGTGATACATACGAGTTCCCATACGATGAGTTCTGTAGCTGTATAATGCTGATACACATCCATACAAAAGTACCAGTGCATAAGCGTGCATAAGTGCACCAATCGTGCCTACCATCCCTGTCCTATTGTTTCTTTTTATTTTTCTTATATGTATCCATCTCATGTATTCATAACTATGTTTATACTTATACCTGTTACCTTGTAAGCGATTGACAAATCAAATCAAATAAAATAAACAAACAAACAAATAAATAAAAAAGTTGATCATAGATTGAATATATGTGCAATCCCCAGCATAGGACTGGAACTATAAGTATTTTTTAATTTATCCAGATTGCTTAGTGGAGTTGATGAAGATGCTGTTGGTTGATCTAAGCTTCCCCAAGTCATCAACATGCAGCCAGAGAGCCATTCCATGATCTTAAAATATGTATTTCATTTTTCTGTTCCAGAGAATAAGAAATATAGTCTTTTAAAGAAAGTCCTGGTTGTTTTCCTTTGCATTTTTTTCTCCTGAGAATATGTTTGGCATCTAAAATGCCAAACCTTAAGCTTTTTCAGAAAATGATTGACAAATTTATCTAAGCCTTTACAGAACCATGGTATGCATTGGATGAATTTTGTCCTGTCACTTTTTCTCTTACTAATCTACTTCACAAACAAGGTTGTACTATGGTAGTGAGAATGCATTGTGGGATACTGAGGCAAATCTGTATCTTATACACTTGCATTATGCCATTGAATGGAGTTTGCATTGCATTGCGACTTTTGTCATTTACCCCTCTTGCCTGCCCTTGCCCATGTTTACAAAGTTGTTGGGGCAAGAATAAAAGTGAAATGTGATCCAAGATCTTTACAGAGATAAAATTGGAGATAACTGAAATCAACACCTTAAAGATAAAAAATATTCTCCAGAACTTTTTGGAAGACTGTAGTGGAAACAGAATAGTTACCTTCCATTCTGTTAATAGTAGCCTCCATTATATTTTAGATATTTCTACAAATAAAATATGACTTCTATTTTCCAATAGATTACTCCTTTGTATTTTAGTTAGAGTATACTAAAACTACTATCCTTTAGTAGCATAGAGTGCATTTGGTCAGTGGTGATTGTCTCATTGGTTGTAAACTTTCTTGTGCAAGGATTCTCTATTTGGTGGCCTAGAACATTGAAGTACACTCTAAAGAGGCCTGCTCTTGAAAATGCAGAAGCCACGGTTAGTGCAAAATGTGGACCTAGGGCCACTTATTGGAATATCTTTTAGAAGCTTCACAGTATTTAAGGCAAAGCTCCTCAAATTCTTTAGCTCATAAACATCTTCATGAAGTTTCAGATTGTTCATTGACCCCTAAATGTTTGTTACATGGAAATAATTTAATAAATATTATTTTAAGTAATAGTACTGTGAATAATAATAATAATAATAATAATAATAGTAGTAGTAGTAGTAATAATACAGTGGAACCTTGGGTCACGACCATAATCCCAATTTGATCATGACTGGAAGCACAACTGACTGTGCATACACGGATAAAAATTTGCATGGATTGTGCATGTGCAGAAGGCGAACTTGGCACAGAAAGGGAATCTGCTGCAGCTGAGTTTGTTCGCCACCCAATTTTTGAATCGTGACTTGAGGCTGCGGAATTTTTGGTCAGAACCCAATTTTGTCGTGAACAGAAGCCAAGGACCCAAAGTTCCACTGTATAGTCAAAATGACCACATTAAAATATTGTGGGAATTCCAAAGATAAATTGAAAACATTTTGTCATACGACATACCAGATTTAACTGTGGTTGAAAAGAAAAAAGTATGGATAATTGATATGGTAACCCTTAGAGATAGTTGAATAGAAGACAGAAAATGGAGAAGATCACAGGGTATCAAGAGCTGAAATATTACAGAATGAACTGGCATTACTTTCCTGTAATGCATCATTTACATTATTTACATAGTAAATAAATAAATTTTAAAAAGTAAATCAAGAATAATAATGGAACATTTGGTGGGTTTGTTTTAATCCTGTAAAATAGTCAGAGTCAATTTTATAAAATAGGCACCATACAAATTAAATAATAAATAAAATTATTAAAAACAGAACTAGCTCAAAATTATAGTAAAAAAAACATGCCTTAAAAATAGGTAGGAACTTTCCTTATTGATTATGTAACTATACAAGATATATATTGACATGCCTTAGGCATCTGCTTCTACTGGTGTCATGGACTTAGAATATCTATATGTGCATATTAATGTTCTGACCAAGGCTTATTGAGATACTAACACACACACGTTAGTCCCCAAACCCTTTTTTCTTTATTTCAATGGCTGTGAATTTTAGTCATTCACAGCCCATAAATGAGTCTCAAACAGTTTGTAAATAGTCCATGGAAATCTGCCAAAGTCCTTTAGGATAAGTCTGATAAGCATGCACCTTTATCTTCCTTGAAATGCTGCCAACGACTAAATTTCCAATTAGTTATACAAGGCCAACTGGAGCACAAATTCAACACTGAGCTTCAGGTTTCAAACCGACCAGTTTGAACAAAGTTGCTTCCTGAAAAGATTCCTGTCCCTTTGCTCCTCCTTTATGACTTATGTCATATCCAACCTTACTCCCGAGTCGCCCCTTTTATCTTAACTGTTCTTGCCTTCTGGCAGCTCTGCACACGCATGAACTGGGAACAGGCTTCCCTTGTTCTTCTGCCTCGCTGCTGTCAGATTCTGGAGGCTCCAGAGTCAACACATAACTCTCAGATGGCCCTGGCCCCATCTCTGTATCCGATGCATGAGTCCTCCCCAGACTCCTGGACTGGCCCATGTTCCTCTCCACTGTCCAACTCTGCTGCCGTCTCTGCAGGCTGCCAGCGGACCACAACAATTAATGATGTGTTCGTAAAGAACATTAATGACAATATACAGTTTTGTTAATCAATGTGGGGCATTTGGATGGTATAAGGGATGTAAATTAACTTACTTGATGTTAATCCTTCCACATTCTTAATAGAATAGGTTAAGATCAGGTATTAGAATAAGGGTGAATGGTAACACTTTGTGTTATTGACATCTAATAATCTTTAATGAAATTTCAATTTTCTTTCTCTTTTTTTAGCTTTTATTTCTTCTTTATTTCAGATGGGTGGGAAAAAACAATGGAATAGTTCTTCCCAATTCCTAGTTAGCAGACTATGCTAAATCAGGAACAAATTGAAAATAACTATTTGATACCACCTATTCTGCCTAATCATAGAAAACTCTTGCAATATAAAAAGAAAAGTTACTGATACAGAATGTCATGTTATTGACATTCTGTTTTTCTTAGCAGTACAACTTAGGCAGCACATGTGATGACCTGGGGCGTGGCACAAAAGCAACAAAGATACAAAAGTAGGTAAAGTCCTTTTAATACCTCCAACTTGGCCCCCAATGTCCAGTTATCCTCGACTGGAGAAAACACTCTCCTAATAACAGTTTTTAAAGGGAAGAAATGCCATCCAAACCCAAAGTATATATAAATTGTAAATAAAAACCAACACAAACCACGCTGCAGCAATTAATGAAACAGGGAAGGATAAGGAATTGAAGACTTCAAAAGATAATGAAACACACACAGTGGGGAGGTTGCCAGAACTTGGGTAAGACTTGACAAACCAAAATAATTCACGCTTTGCTTCCACAAAGGAGCTGTGCACAAACACCCTCTTTATCCTGTTTTCTGCATTTAGCTGCAGCTAATGAAGGGAATCAGGGCCTTTTTCTCCCCCGTAACCCACGTTGCTCCCTTATCCATTCCTCCCTGCGTGGCCTAGGATGAAGAAGGGGTGGGCCTGGGTCTTCCTCTGAATGCCCAGCCCATGACATTTCACAGAAATGTTATTATCTCCCTCTTTTTTGTAAAGCACACAAAGTATTTTGTGCTTTAATATCATACATTTTTTTCACCTAATCCCTATCATTTTCCAATCATATTATGTAACAAGGCAAAATAAATACACAATCTACTAACATACAGGCTAAAAAAATCTTAGAAATAATGAATAGGGTGGGGGAGTGGGTTTAAAATGAGATGCCAGCTTTGCTAATCCTGTCATATAGGGATAGCCTTAGCTTCATTGAAGTACTTTGGGTTTTAAAGATATAAGCATGACATTTAAGATATAAATTTTTCATGTGTACATTTTTATTAGTATTTCTTATTG